AAGAGCACTGACAGCTCTTCCAGACAACCTGGGTTTGATTCCCAGCATCCACATACTGGCTAATGACCTTCTGCAACTCCAGTTCCAAAGGAATCCATTGGCTTCTTAGGGCATTGCCAGTGAGTGATACAGACATACATGTTAGCAAAACACCATACACATAAAAATAAATAAATCTCAAAAAAAAGAACACAAGGTTCCTAACGGACAGTAAGCTCACAGAAGTAAATGAGAACTGTGTAACTGAAAAGAGCAGGATGGGTACTTCTGGCTATACAATGTACAGGACACAACAATCCAAGTGCTACTTTGCCTGGAAGCTTTCTAGACTCTAAAGAAGCATATGAAATGAGCCTGAAGCATGCTATAATTTTCCTTTTCTGACTTCACAAGCTTACATCTGAGCACACTACTGTGTCTCCTGCCATGCCCAAACTCTGCATGTCTACGAAATGTGGGATTATTTTTGATCAGGTATCTGGAAATTGCCAAAAATGTCTGGGGAAAGTCAAGAAAGGAACACCTCTCCTCTTCAGTTTTTAGAACCTACGTGGAGTTGAGTGGAAGCACGTCTGCTCCTACTACTGAAGTCTGAGCAGGTCCACTGGAGGCCTTCTCCTCATTCTGAAGAGTGTGGGAGAGTCCAGTGGGAGTACTGTGTTCCGCAGCGTGTAGGGCCTGAGCAGGGTCAATGCGAGCACTGCTGGCTGTTCATTACTTGGTCTTTTGTCCACTTTCTATCACAAGAAGAACTTGATACATCTGTTGTGGGATATTTATACACAATGTTGAAAATGTATTACTGTGATTGGTGTGATAAAAAGCTCAACAGCCAATAGCTAAGCAGGAGGTATATGTGGGATTTCCAGGGAGAGAAAGGAAGAAGAGGAGGAATCTAGGTGCACAGGATCTGCTAAGAAGGCATGGAGGGAGTTGGACATATGAAATGAAAAAAGGGTAAAAAGTCACATGGTAAAACATCGATTAATAAAAATGGGTTAAGTTATAAGAACTAGTTAGAAACAAGCCTAAACTATAGGCCGAGATTTCATAATTAATTAATAAGTCTCTGTCATTATTTGTTGGCTGATGGCCAAGAAACTACCACTACATAGATCTCAGCACAGGTCCCCCAAAGAAGGGGGCCCAAAAATACAACTTATAACTGTTTTCCATCACTGCCTTCCTTGACATGTGGGGCTTCTGTCTCACAGAACATGCCATGATTTCTATCATTCACATCTAATCCCATGCTCACACAGTCTTATACTCACTCCCCTTATCAAAAAAACCTTCCCTGGTCCTTCTTCAAATCGTATGCCTACCTACTAGCTTGTCAGTGACATGCACCTGGAAGGAATATAAATGTGAAGACAGGTTAATTTTTACACCAAATCATAACAGTATGACAAAGTTCCTCTGGGACAGAATTATCATGGAAATTAAGAGATGCTTTAATAAACTGTTAACCAAATGCAAAAGGCCACACACAGTACATCATAAAATTACAGGTACACAAATCAATCTCCAGGCTAGATTTATAGACATGTTTCATAAAGTATGTTACTCATAACTATAAATAAAGTACTCATATGATCTAAGTTCCATCTTTAAACTGAGCATAATATTAATCTGAAATACAGACACAACTGAAGCCTAAACACACAGTCTGATGGATGCATACTGGTAATTTAAATTTATTGTAGTTAAACAATAATCAAGGTATTTATTTACTGATTATTTTTAAGAAACCTCAGGATACTATGTTTTAAGTTACTAGAACATTTAGAACACATGGTAATGCAATCCAATTGCCACAGCCTGTACTACTTAGACATAACCAGGTGTGAATGTAAAGAAGGACGAGTACCTGTATCTCATCCTCAGAGTGCTAGGGAGTGCTCAGATTACACACGCCTTTAGCCTTTAATCTCACACTCAGGAGGCAGAGGCAGGTGGATCTCTGTGAATTCAAGGCCAACCTGGTCTACAGAGCAAGTTCCAGGATAGACTCCAAAGCTTTACAGAGAAACCCTGTCTCGAAAAAACAAAAACTAAATTCTACACCAGTCTGGTACAAGTATCATAAAACTTTTTGAAAGTACAAAGAAAGCCTTTGTCCTTTCTTTACATGAGACTACCATGCATTTTAAAATTTATTTTAATCTAACATGCCAGAGAGGGTTTTATAGACACAGGAACTCTAGTTACAGATGTTTGTCAGTTGCCATATGGGTGCTGGGAACCAAACCCAGGTCCTTTGCAAGGGCAGCAAGTGTTCTTAACTGCCCAGCCTTATCCCTAGTCCCTATTTACTTATTTCTAAAGTCCTATAATTAATTTTATGTCTATGAGTGTAATGCATGCAGCATTTTTGATGCCTGCAGCAGTCATAAGGACTATAAGTATTATATGTTTGGCTAGAGTTACCTTCTCCTAAACTTCCAGAAGAACACTGGGAAAAAAGTTGTCTCCCTTTGAAGTTGTACACAATAGCACAGAAGAACATATCTAACAAAACAGACTGTTTCAAGTACCAATTGTCCAAATGTTTGAGTAGTAAAAGAACAACTTTCACCAGGTTAAGCAACACTGTACAGAACAGGTTGATGTTTCTATATACTTGCAGCATAATGTCAGTTATCTACTGGCAGGAGGAAAAACAGCAAAGAATTACACTTTACCAAGCTGTGAGTTTTTAAATAAAAATACAAGTACAGCCCTGCCTTATTCCTATGCCCAGCTTACATTTTCAGTTTGCTAAATAAAATGCTGTGGGTGAGCGAGAATAGAAGTTGATAGCATATTAGCCAATATTTTCTCATGTTTCCACTCCACGAGGACTCATAGTCATCAATGACATTTAAAACATGTACAGTTCTTGGCATGTACATCTTGTTCAAGATAAAATATCACCCCAATATCCAGAACCCCCAGAAACCAGATAAGCATGCTAGCACGTACTTGATATCCCACCACTTCGTAGTTGAGGCAGGATGATCAACCTTGGCCACAGAGTAAGACCTTGTCTCCAAACAACCAACCAAAACCAAAACAAAAGTATGCAATATGCAGGGGATGTCAATATAGGTCTGTGGCAGACCACTAACAGGCAAGAAGCTGTAAATCTGTCTCCAACACAGCAAGGAGAAAACAATTTTAAAAAACTGGCCAATTACAAATTTATTCCATTAAAAATTTAGTTCATTATGGCAGCAACTATATTTTATTTCCCTTGTGATAATACTTGCAGTTTGCAAACACATTTTAAAAGCTAGTTTATGTCAGTTGCTCAATAATCAAGTATTTCTGAAATTCGGCACCACCCTGCCCCTAAAGATTTCAGTCTTATTTGTGCTGTTTAGTCATTTAACTACTACGTTTTTTACAAGCTTTCTGACAGCACTTAAATCAGTGTAGCAGAGACAAGATACCGCAACAGCATTCCAAAGGGCACCGTTTCTTGTTTTTTCTCACCTTCGCCATTCTAACTTCCTGTTTTTCATGCATTGCTTTACTGCCAGCTAGATGTTATGCCATACCAGTAACTTTCATTTCCCAAGCACTGCTGGCCTGCACATCCACCGTGCAGCCGAGTTTTCAGTTCACTATCAGAGTGTTCTGACAGGGTACCTCACTATCATCGGAGTGTTCTGACAGGGTACCTCACTGTCATCGGAGTGTTCTGACAGAGTACCTCACTAACAGTGTTCTGACAGAGTACCTCACTATCGGAGTATTGGCTCCAATTGCTATCTGTCATCACCAAATACTACCTATTGTGTTCCTCTTTATTTTTGGGAACCCTGCTTTTTAATTATTATTTTTGGGTAGTTGTACCATATATTCCATGTCTCCTAGTTGTAGAAAGGGAACATTCTCCAAGCTCTCTCTCCACTAAAACCTCCTCTTTCTGCCCTCTAAAACTCACATTGTCTACTTCCACAAAGATGTATACATCAAGTCTAATGGATGCATCATTATCTCTGAATACGCACTATTTCCGTTTATCTGAAACCGTGACACTAGCTCCTTGCTAAGAACAACAGTGGGTGGAAAAAAGATACAGCCAGCTGCAATAGGTTCAAATACTCAATAAGTAAGTAGAAAGTTACTTTAGGAAAAACAAAACTAACAATGTCCCCCTACATATGTTCACACTGGGTCTAGAAAGATCATAGCAAAGTACTTAGTGTTACATCTCGTGTTTTAAAAAATGAAACAGAGATTTCAGTTATTCTAACATAAGCTTTCCAGGAACACTTCAACTGTGTCAGGCACAACTAAGAAATGAAGGAATCTTCTTGAGTTTAGGATTAACTTCTTCCCACATTGGATCTCACTACTTTTTAAATCAGAAAAGAGAATCTGGACGTTTCCAGGCCTGAAGCTCGCTCTGGCAAAAGATTTACAGAAACACTAGGCTGGGAAAACAGATAGCATCTCTCATGGCCCCTTAAGGTAGGCTTCAGGGCGGTAGTCACTGCCAGCGGGAGGGGAGGAAAAGGCCAAGCAAAAGGCAATGACCAATACGGCCAAGTTAGGAAGTGTTCACTACCTGCGCACTTCTGCTAGCGAAGGAGTTGGGGGGGGTGGGGCAGGGGGGGTCTGGAAGAGGACTGAGAGCAGATGACCTGGACAGCTCGCCCTCGAAGAGGGTGGGTGGGGATAGCGGCGAAGACACCTGACTTAGGCCGGGGAGGTGGGTGCGCTGACACAAGGTGGGACCCAGACGCAGGCCCTTCGCTGAGGACCAGGGTAGGCCACGGCAGTCAGGTGCCCCGAGGAAAGCAGCTGGCGGAGAGGGCTGCCAGGGCGTGGACACCCACTTTAGGTAGGCAGACAGCAGGAAAGGAGGCAGACGGCTAAGCTCACACACTTGGTCCGGGTCCAGGTTGTGTGGACCCCAGATGGGGGCCGAGATTTGGGGCTGAAGCCCGCGTCCCCACCCATCACCGAGGAGAGGAAATGGGTGGTGCAGACCTGGGGGCAACACTCACCCAGGCAGGCAGATCGCAGGCGCGCACCCCCAGGCGCACGGCTCGCTCCTCGTCCTCCAACAGCTCCAGCGCCCGGCACAGGCGGCTGGCCTTGAGGCCGCGGCTCCGGCGGCACCAGGCGAGAAGCCCGAGGGCCAGCAGCACCCAGCTGAAGCTCAGCCCCAGGTAGCCGAGGGCGTACACCGGCAGCAGCAGCGCAAAGCTGCGCGCGAGCTGCCCCAGCATCCCCGACAAGTCCACGCTCAGCGCGCTGCCCGGGGCTTCGGGCTCAGTGCGGCCCCCCGCCCGGCCAGCCCCGGCCTCCGGGCCCTCGTCCCCCGAGCCGCTCATCGCCAGCCGGGCAGCTCACTCCTCCCTGCGGAGGCGAAGGCGGCACTCCCACGGACGGCAGGTCGCCCCACCCCGCGCGCCAGCGCCCCTCTGAGGGGGGGCAGCGGGCGCCAGCTCTCCACTCCGCGGAAGGGCGGGACTGATGTCATCACCGTGCGCAAGGCCCTCCTCCACCAGAGTCCTCTCCCGAGGGGGGTCTCGTTCAGGCGGAGCTTGCGTTGGGTGACATCATCACCGTGCGCCTGACCCTTTCGGGCGTGGAGGCGGGGATCAACTGTCCGGGGACAGTTTGTACCGAGAGAGGACGGGACGGGCGTGGTGCCCTACGCCGCCCACTCGCCAGGGACCTCGGAAAAGAACCGAGTGGACCGTGCGTGTGTCACGCGCGGCTGCCCCGCCCTCGCTCTGCGCCGGGGTGGGTCGTGGGCGGCGCCACCTCGCCAGACCGGCTCCGCCCCCTAACCTGTGGGGCGCGTCCCTCTGCGCTCGGGGAGGGGGCTGCACGCTGCGACCCGGCCCGGTGGGAGCGCGGGGCTCCAGGCGTGGCCTTCGGAAGGGTTGCTTGAAAAATGCAACGTTCTCGGCGGGCTGGAAAGAGAGCGGGCAGAGTTGCGCTCCTAGCGGAGCCCTGGGCATTTCCTCAGGCTTCAGGTGGTTGCGTGCTAGAGGCCGGGTTCTGCTCCCGGCTCCTTGGCGGAGAACTTAAACTTATAAATGCCTAGAGCAAGAAGGATGACGAAAGCTTTGTGCCTCCAGGAATAAAATTCGTCCTGCGGCCTTACAGTGTGGTGACGCCTCAGGTCTGTTACTCCTCAGGTCTGACGTTCCCAAACCTTGGCCCCAGAGAGTTTAGGAAAACAGTTTTCCCGCAGATTAAAAAACAACGGCTGGGCGGTGGTGAGCGCGCCTTTAATCCCAGCTCTCCAGAGGGAGAGGCAGGCGGATCAAAGGGAGTTCGAGGCCAGCCTGGTCTACAAGAGCTAGTTCCGGGACAGGCACCAAAGCTACAGAGAAACCTGGTCTCAAAAACAAACAAACAAACAAAAAACCAACCAAACCAAATAATAATAATAAAAGCAACTAGAGTCAAAGTTATATTTGTTGTGTGACACCGTCCCCTAGCCCCCAGCCCCGCTCCTCGTTATTTAAGGCCAAACTCTTAGGAAACATCTGTGAAGCAGCTTTTGGTGTGTATAGGGGGGGGTGGGGGGGTGACCATTGCAGGATACAGGCAGATGTAGTGCTAGAGATGTAGCTGAGAGTTCTACATCTGGATCTACAAAGAGAGACTCTGGGCTTGTAATGGGCTTTTTGAAACCGCAAAGACCACCCCCAACAACACACTTCCTCCAGCAAACCCAACCTTCTAATCCTTTCGAATACTGCCACTCCCTGGTGATCAAGGATTCAAATCAATGAGCCTATGGGGACCATTCTTATTCAAACTAACACACAAGGTAAGGAATTTTTTCTTCTCTTTCCACTTTATTTTGTTTGTCTCCACATGAAATTACATCATATAAACTACAAATATGCAAAATAGTGAATGGCAACCCATTTCCTCTACATAGCAAATTGCTCTTCATGCTGCTGTCTTAATAACATCAAAATAAGTGATACCCCAGAATAGAGAAATGGCTCAGTGGTTAAGAGTGCTTGCTACTCAGAATTTAGTTCCCAGCACCCATAGTAGACAGCATACAGCAGCCTGTAACTCCAACTCCAAGAAATCCTGAAGGATTATCCTCTACTCCCAAACCAGCACCCTAAAATAGACCCACGGCTCCAGGAAGGTTAATGCAGCTACCCTTTACATATCCTGGAGTCCAGAGGTTACAAAAACACGCAATTTGACTTATCTCCCCATCACAGTTTTGAAAATCTGTTTATCTAGAAAAACAGTTTCTGGGTCCAGGGAAGCCATGCTCTTACCTCCTCCCTACTCTCAAAGGCAAAGCCCCCTCAGACTCTGAACCATGCTCCCTCTTGCACCCTGGTTGCCGTGCCACTCAGTCTTGAGGTATACCTCTCAGAGCAATAAGTTTTCTCTTGCCACTCACTTCAATATGAGTGATATTTTTGTTTTGTTTGGTTTTTTCAAGACAGGGTTTTGTTTTGTTTTTCTTTGGTGTCTGTGTGTGTGTGTGTGTGTGTGTGTGTGTGTGTGTGTGTGTGTAGCTCTAGTAGGCCGCTTACTGGTTTCTGACAGCTCAGTCCTGAAATGAATCACACAGAAACTGTATTATTTAAATCACTGCTTGGCCCATTAGCTCTAGCTTCTTATTGGCTAACTCTTACATATTAATTTAACCCATTTCTGTTAATCTGTGTATCGCCACAAGGCATTGGCTTACCCGCTTCAGTTCTGGCATCTGTCTCTGGCGGGGTACATGGCTTGTCTTTGACTCTGCCTCCTTTCTTCCAGCATTCTGTTTAGTTCCCCAGCCCACCTCTATTCCACTATAGCTCTGCTATAGGCCCAAAGCAGTTTTTTTAATTCATTAACCAATAAAAGCAACACATAGACAGAAGGACCTTCCACACCACTCTGGCTGTTCCGGAACTTGCTCTGTAGATCAAACTGGCCTTGAACTCAGAAGTTCACCTGCCTCTGCCTCCCGAGTGCTGAAATTATAGCCATGCAACACTACTGCTCAACTGAGTGTTCGTTCTTTCATTATGTTCTACTCGTTTAATTATTTTTTCTTCTTTGAATTATTTTTTGAAATTATAATTACATCATTCCTTCCCTTTCCTCCCCCAACTCCTCCTGTGCTTTCCTCTGTGCCTTCTCTCAAATTCATAGCTTCTTCTTCTGTAATTGTTGTTACACACACACACATGCACACACACACACAAACGCACAGACCATATATATGATATATGTGTATACAAGACATATATTGAATTTATCCATATAATGTAGGTATGTGTATATTGTATTATATGATTTTAGAGTTAACATCTTGGTACTGGTTAGCCAAATGGGGGCCAACAGATCTTCTGACATCTGTGCATACCCACACACACAGGACTTATACTCACTCAGACACATATGCACACATTTTTTAAAAAGTAATTCCCTTGGTAACACAAGAAGGTGCAGAAAGGAACCTATCTAGATTTTATGGTCTTTGGCCTAAAGGAGCATGTTTACACTTTGTATAAAAACTTCTATGAACATGCCAGAACCATAAAATAATTCACAATGGGGATTGGAGAGATGGCTCAGAGGTTAAGATCACTGGCTGCTCCTCCAGAGGTCCTGAGTTCAATTCCCAGCAACCATATGGTGGCTTAAGTCACCTATAAAGAGATGTGGAACCCGCTGGTATGTAGGCATACATGCAGACAGAACACTGTATGCAAAATAAATAAATAAATAAATCTTTTTTTTAAAAAATCACGTATGGTATGCTCTCTATATGAAAATTTTCTCTCATCAGCTTCCTTCTGCTTTTCTTTCACCCTACAAACCAAGTCATAGAAACTAGAATTTCCATTTTTTTAGGCAAATCATAGGAATTAGAACGTCTCTTCCTCAAAGCAAGGCATGAAGCCTATAAAGTTACACTGACTGCATGTTTGATTAGATATTACAAAGTACAATTTTAGAAGGTATCCTACCCCATACGTGAATGGAGGACATGCTACATAGGGATGCTAAAGAGAATCTGAATAGGGCTTGCTGTATGCTCAACTTAGTCTGTTCCTACTAGGTAACAACCTTTTTGTCCAATCATGATGGTAGACAGCTGCCCATGCTTCAATGAGGTCAAGTTTAAAAAAAAGAATGGTAGTTCACTCTCCATCTTTGGGTTTTTGTTTCGAAGGCTCTGTGATGTGTAAAACTATGATTGTGTAGATGTGATTATCTTTTCTACTGTTGCTTGCTTGGGGTATAAGGTTGCTGCTAGCCTTGACCCTTGCTGATGGGGAAGAAACAGATCATTCCCTTTTTTATCTCTACAGCCCAGAACAACAAAGACTATTATTATTCCTCTGGTTCTGTGATTTTCTTCTCCCTTCCTTCCTTCCTTCCTTCCTTCCTTCCTTCCTTCCTTCCTTCCTTCCTTCTTTTCTTCATCTCTTCCTTCTTCTTTCTCTTTTGCTTGCTTGCTTTTTTAATACAGCCAAGCCTTCTTAAACATCCTACCTGCCTTTTTAAATTGGTTTATGTGGTTTGCAGCCAGAATATTAAAAAAGAGTGGGGCATGTTCTTTCTTACTGTGATTGTTAAAAGCACACGCAGATCTATTGACATATTAGTTACTTCTCTATTGTTGTAAAAGGAAACCATGACTAAGGCAACTTATAAAATAGTTTCGAGAGTGAGTCTGTGATCATGGCAGTGAGCATGGCAGCAGGCAGACTTGATGCTGGAACAGTAGCTGAGAACCCAAACCTATTCACAGGCACAGGCAGAGAGAGAGAGACAGCTCACTAATTAGGAATGTCAAGGGCTTTGGAACTGCAGAGCTCACCCCTAATGGCACACCTCCTCCAACAATGCAGTACCTCTCACTCTATCCAAAACAGTTCCACCAACTGGGGACCACGTATTCAAACGTATAAGCCTATGGGCCATCCTCATTCAGACACTACAATCGATATCCCTCTAATGCTCCATTCTTTAAAAGTTACTTAGAGGGCTGGCGAGATGGCTCAGCGGTTAAGAGCATTGCATGCTCTTCCAAAGGTCCTGAGTTCAATTCCCAGCAACCACATGGTGGCTCACAACCATCTGTAATGAGATCTGGTGCCCTCTTCTAGCCTGCAGGCATATATGCAGACAGAATATTGTATACTTAATAAATAAATATTTAAAAAAAAATTACTTAGAGTCAGGGTGTGGTAGCACATGACTTTAATCCCAGCACTCCGGAGGTAGAGGCAGGGTGATCTCTATAAATGTGATGTCATTGTGGTCTACAAAGCAAGCTCTAAAACCAGTGAGGCTGCATATTGAGACCTTGTTCCAAAACAAAACAAAAGAATCTCCCTCTCCTTGCTCTCAGGAGGCAGAGGCAAAGACTGAGTCTTGACAAGATGAAATGGCCAGAAAGCTAACAAA